GAACAAACCCTCACATTCTCTTGTACATACACACTCTCTTTTCCACACTCCCTTTCACACACACACGCGCACGCACGTGCGCAGGCTACAGCCACGAGCTGCGCATAGCAGACACTGTCCTGGCCAGGCTGCCAAACCCGGGACCAGACGCGGTGCGCCGCGCCGCACCCACCCGTGCATGCACGCACGCGGACCTCTGCCCGCAACGCAGCCCTGATCCGCCTGCACACGCACCGACCAGCCCCCAGAGTTGGAGCTCCCTCAGTCGTACGTCCCCAGCCCTGCCTTTCCCATTTTCAGACAGAACAATCTTTGCTCAGCATCCGGCCCCAACCGGCATGCCGGCTCACGACGGCCGCGCCGCGCCACCGCCCTCGCGCGCCGCCGTCGCGCCGTCGCCGCCGTGCCCGCAGTTGCTGGAGCTGTCGCCGGCGGCGCTGGCGTACCTGGCGCACACCTTCGACGTCTATGACTCATCGCGGTGCGCGTGCGGCAGCCGGGCGGGCGCGGTCGCCCCTCGTGCCACAAAACCCGCCCCGCGCTGCTCGCGTGGCCACGCGGGGCGTGCGACTCCGCCACGGCGGCCTGCCCACGCGCGTGCCTCCCTCGTCCTTTTGTCTCGCGGGCCCTCGTCGCACCGCACCCTTGATTCATCACTCTCATCCTGTCGCCCCCGCTGTGTTGCCGGCGATTTGCCTCTCCTGTTTATACGGGGTGCACAGGTCAAGGCCCAGCGTTCAGCACCGCACCCCCGCCCGCTCACGCTCGCCCTTTCCGGCCACCCTCACCATGCACCCCCTCCCCCCCCAGCCCTGCCCACAACTACTTATTTCTATCGTCGGCCCGACCCCAACCCGGCCCTTGTTGCACCACTCGCTGCCAGGTCTGGCGTGCTGAGTGCGAGTGACATAGAGCACATGTTCAACCGCGCCCCGGTGCCCGTGTACCAGGTGGGGCGGGTTCGATCCCCGGCGGGTCCGTCTTTTTTTGCAGGGTGGGGGCCCGGGCTCACCTAGCGGCGCTTAATGCCGCTCTGCGTGCGTCCACCTGAACCTGCGTTGACACGGTCCCCCTAGGGAGCATCCTTGTATTTCAATGCAGCCGGACAGAATCCAGCCATATCTGTGACCAAGGCCAAGCCGTGATCAGCGCCAGCTGGGAACAGCTTCGAAACCTTTCGTTCCAAACCACCGTTCTCCTCAGCCTGGTCCTCATACCTCCCCCACCCCCACCCCACCCCCACCCCCTGCCCGCAGCTGGACGCCTGGAACCGGACGCTGGTGGCCGGCGGCGGCGCGGGCGGCGCGCCGGCGGCGGGGCTCACGCGGGACGGCTACCTCACGCGCTGGAAGGCCTTCGCCCTGCAGGTGGGGGAGGAGACGTACATATTTGATGTTGTACAGTGTGCTAAACCATTCGTATACTCTTGTATAGCATGATATGATGTGATACAAGCGGGAGGAAACATGCAACGCACTGGTCTGGTTGGAAACCCTGAGCCCCTGGACCCACGTGTTGGGCCGAGCACACACCCTGGAGCGCCGCCGTCTCGTCATCGGGTCCCGGGGGTTTCGGAGGTCTGAGCAGCACGGCGCTCCAGGACGCGTGTTTTTGACCCGCGTGGGCAAGAACACGCGTCCTGGAGCGGCGCCCTCTGCAATTCATGTGTTTGGTTGGGCCCCTTGTTGTCGAGAGCAATCACGGGCCAAGCAGGAACCACTCTGGGCTGTTGGGGGTTCCGAGGTTTCGTGGGCAGGGGAGGGGGTGAGCGCCGCTGGTATGTACGTCGGGATTTTCGGCTGGCTGCGCACGTGTGCCGACAGGCAAGCACTCCCGTGACCGTGGATCACGCCCAGGGCGGCGCCCGCGCGTCGGACACCTGGAGGTTACCGGAGGTTTTTGGGGCGCGGGCCGTCGGTTTTTTGGGTCCCTGTGATATCCCCTGGTTGCCGCGGCTGAAGCGTGCACCCCGCCCCCTAGGCGGCGCCCATTGGTGTCCGCAGCCGGCGCCGCCATCTCTTGCGCCGCCAGGAGCCGCGTGTGCCCAGGAGCCTGTGCATCAAGAGCCCCCCCTGCCCCCAAAACATACCCACACGCCCAACCCCTCCACCCCGCCCCCAACCCTCCAACCCCTACCCCACCCCAATCTCCTCCCTCACCCCCACCTACACACACACACAAACACACACACTCCCTGACCCCGGACCCCCACCCCAGGAGCCGCGGCTGGCTTTTGAGCAGATGATGTATTTGGGGATGGGGGGCCGCTGCGGGGAGGGTGCGGCGGAGCTCTTTGATGCAAAGCCGCGGCGGAGGAAGGGCGAAAGGCGCGCTGACCTGTCGAGCAGGTGCGGGAGCGTGTGTGCGTGTGCGTGTGAACGCGCGCGCGTGTGTGTTTGTGTGTGTGTGTGTGTGTGTGTGCGTGTGTGCGTGGTTGCGTCTGCAAGGCGGGGGCTTCGGGATTGTGTGTGTGTGGGGGGGACTCGTATGCATGCGTGTGCATGCGAGTGTGCGAGAGTGTGTGCACGCGTGTGCTTGTGCGTGCGCGTTAATGTGTGCACGTGCGCGTCGTTGCACGTTAATGTGTGTGCGCGCACGCGCACACGCAAACACACACACACACACACACACAAACACACACACACCGCCACTATACGATCGTGCCCCCATCTCCCTCCCAAAGGACGACCCTGCACTGCGCCGTCTTCGGGGCCCTCGCCTCCGGAAAGTCAACGCTGGTCAAAGCGCTCGCAGGCAAGCCGCCGCGCGAGCCCGCGCAGGGGCTGCTCAGCGCAGCCGCCAGCGTGGCGGTCGGCGGCGGTAGTGGGGGCGAGGTGGCGGACGTGAAGACGCTCGTCATGAC